CAACCACATTAAAAAAACAATTATTTAAACAAAATACTCTTTTATTAGAGTATTTTTGATTAAACATACAGAACTCAAGATTTCTATTTAAAATTTTTATAATTCAAAGTTTTTCCCTCTGGAAGGACGGCCACGCTATCTCAGCACATATTCTGTGGAAGGATCATACCTCTCATGTGTCTAGCTCAGAAACCAGAGCAACACTGCGCGTACTCGCTGTGCAAGCAAAGGAAGTGACGCTGTAACGCAATTAACACAGAAAACGCACCGCCAGCGCACACACGGTCAGTTCTGTGGCCAGTGACCCAGAGAGCGGCATCACATCGAGAGCAGGCTTAGCAGCACGGGAATGAAAAAGAAAACCGGTTCCTGACCACAGAAAAAGGAGTCAGAGATTTGCTCAAGTCCTAAGCATTCCTCCTTCGCAACGACCGCAGAGTGCCGCAAATCTAGCCACGGCTTTGGCAGCTTTTCCGAAGCGTCCGTCGTGCTGGGGGCAGGGATGCAGAGGTCTCGCTGACAAAGGTGATGGAACGAGCGATTCTACAGCCCCTCCACACCTCCGAACGTCCCCATCACAGTCCGGTGAAGCACTTGCTTACGGCTGAAAGAGCATCAACTACAGACTCGCTTCCGCGCTAGGGTCCTGGCACCTGTTTGTTCCTCTGCCAGCACGGGTAAAATTGAGCTGTTGTTTTACAGACAGGAGGACACTAACAAAGCAGCACGTGTAGGTAGCTGCACCCCTGCTGCCCCCACCTGCTGGTACCAGTTCCTTGAGCGTATCGCGTAAGTGACTACCATTACCATCAGACTTCAAGCAAAAACTAAGCAATCATCAGCTCCTAAGCACAGTAAGTTTCCTAGACGTTTTTTCAAAGAATTGAACAAAAACATAATTTAGAAGTATGTTTGGTCAAGTTTATCACTGTATATTGTACGATCAAACCTGGTTAACGGGCACTCATTGACTATCTTGTGATGGAATGTCTAACGGCAGATTTCTTTAAATGAAACATCCAGACAACCGAGAGGTATGCAGAAAACTTGTCTTAAATATTTGAAGCTACATGTGCAATCTTACAGAACGCAAGCTACAGTTACAGACATAACATTAACTCTTATTAACCGGCAGTGCATAAGAACTTAAAAACAGTCAGTGAAATCAGGTCAGCCAGTGACTTCCAAAAAAGTCATGCCTCAACAGCATTATGTGAAGGGGCAATAAAAAAAAATTTCTTAGGCATGTTTAACACAAAGTTCTAATCTACATTTAAAAAGCTGTTTTATTATATATATACTATGTATAAAATAAATTAAAAGGGGAAGGAGGAAATAGCTTTGTATATGCTTCAAATTAACACAGACCAGTAGTTCCATAAATGAACATTTTACCATCTCTGTGGTAAAAAGTTGACAAAAAAGTTCAAAACCATACAATACTTATAAATAGAAAGAGTTCAAAAGATATATTTTTAAAAAATGGAATTTAAACATCATTTTCCCTTCCCCCACAATACACTTTAGTTCTGTATGGCATAGCATCAACACATTTACAGAGTATTTGAATGTCACATCCACACAAGAATTGGTAACAAAGCAGTTAAAAGTGCTCTTGGTGATGTTAAAATATAGGACTTCTCCCAGATAACTCTACCTGCTCCTCAGCCTTCTCCTGAAGTGAAGGCTATCAACATTCATCATCCAGTTTGAGGTATGGGCAGAAGAAAAATCTGCAACTGGTACTCCCCGCCCTGCCCTGCCTCTGCTAAAACATAGCAACAATCTATTGATCTGGTTATTGACAATGGTGGTGCACAATCTCTTACCTCCACTCAGCTTGTATATAATTTAATCGCTATCTAAACAAAGTTATTTTGAAACATAGTATTAATGCTTAACTTAAAAAAAAACCAAACAAACCCCCAAAGCCCAACTTTAAATCTTTGAAAGTATGTTTAAATGTTCTTGTTCCAGATTTAAAGCTTCACGTGAACACCAGACAGAAGGATGACAATTTTAAACCAAGAAAGCACCTAAAAACATACCGTAGGTAAAAATGAAATCAATAATCTCCCCACTTCATAAAAATGTAGAAACCCTGTCAGCAACAGTAGTACACTGAGAACGAACAAGGTGAAAAGGAGCATCTAGAATACTCAAGAGGCTTGCTACGCTACTTCTCTTTATTGCCCATTCTCTTGTTTGGATGGATGGCCACTGCATGACAAGATGCCTGTGAGAGTTCTCTTAATCTTCCTTTCACCACTGCTGCCAGCTGAAGTCGTCATTGCTGCCAAAGACCAAGAAAAATCCTAGGATCGTGGCAAAGATGACTGTGTTCCCCGTAAGGACAAGTGCACAGGCGCCCCAGTAAATCTGTGAACAAGGGGAATGTAGTTACAGACATGTTTTCAACTGAATACTGACAGGACAAAAGGTAACGTCTCAAAGTCACATTGCAGACAAAGTTCAGCAACAGCCCCGTGATGCGAGGAGGGGGTATCCCATTACTTGTGGTTACACCCAGACAGCCAAAAACGACTTGACCACTGCAGAGTTAGCCAAGCAGCACTGCAAGTTCTTTCCAGCCGCGCTCAGAGCGCTGGCCAGCAGGCACAGCTGTTTTGCCATAACATCCAAAACCAGCGAAGTAAGGCCAGGTAACAGCATCAGAGACATCTGCAGCCCAGCCATACTTGCTAACCATGCTATAAGACTTTCTTCAACAGACATTTAAGGATGCAGGTCTTCAAAATGCCAGCAGATACCCCAGTAACAAAAAAGAAGTTGAGTGTTTTCCAAGGAGAGTAAGTGGATTACTCACAGGGTCTGAGGCATTCAAACCGACCGCCTGGCCTGTCCCTGCCTAAAGAGATTTATGAAAGTGCTCTCCATGTTTTTTGACTTAGTAGCGTGCTCTGCAACTCACACAGTCATCTTTTAAAGGATTTTAGCAAAAAGTCTTATACTGGGAAAGGTGCAATGACAACTCAGAAGTTTAAAGAACAACACCAGTATCATTTATAGTGAGTGCAAAAAATGCATTGTTTACTCATGCTTCTTTAGCCCAACTATTCCCCAAACTGCCTTCAAAGTATTCTATACGCTTTTACCTTTGGTTACTTCCCTGCAAAGTTCTCACATTATTTTCCATCTCGTTTTCTCTGCATTGTGTATAGGCTTTTGGGGTTTATTCCACGACCCCATGAAGCAATTGATAATCACCACATTCTGCCACGCTTCCGTTTCTAGCTATTGGGTTTTACTGCCAAAAGAACTCTTGTTCTGTTTCCACTGCATGCATCTTAAGTACATATTTGTAAGAGCTGCCTACTGCACCAGAGCTTTACCTTCAGTAAAAAACCATGAAGAACAAAGTTTTCTAGCATACAAAAAAAAAAGCATAGATTGAAATATTACTAACCAGTTCTGCTCTCGCAAACACTATCGGTAGCCCAAACGCTGAGACAACGATGCCTGTTGTAAGAAATATTGCTAGCTCCTTGCAGGCATTACTTGCAGCATCTGTGTCATCTACTAATCTTCTTGCTATGCAGTACGGGATAGGAGAAAGGATGTAAAAAAACAGAACAAACAGTGGCCAGTACCGGCTGAAAAAGAAAGAAGTTAAAAGTTAACTTGGTTTACTTCCTGTTCTTCCTCAAAATCAACGCAAGGCATTGTCCCCATCCAGCATCCACATTCCGGAAAGACAGACACAAGCCCAGGCAAAGCAAATCCTTCGGTCTGGAACAAGCTGACACGAATCCAGCAGACCGTGTTTGTGAGCGGCTTCAGCCGACCTCAGCGGCAGCTGCAGAGCGCTCACGAACAGGACATTCACACAGCAAGGTTTCACTCAGCAAGCCTAAATCTCACACCGCCTCGCAAGGTGAGCTTAGCTCTTCGGTTTAACCTGTCGGCTTTACTTCAGAATTGCAGGGATACCTTTGCAGAGCCCTCGCGTCACCTTGCCCGTCAGCTTTCAGTCAGCTTTCAGTGCACCGGCGTGGAACAGAGTATTGTTCTCAGCCAATAAATACTCAGGTGCCATGGAGCACCGAGACTTGTTTTTTTTTAAAAATCTGAATGCACCCAGCAAAAAACTACAAGAAGCACACCATCCTGTTTGGCAATGTTATTTTTTGTTGCTTGCAGCTCGCCAGGCTAGATTCCTCAGACACACCAATGCAGCTGCACACTGTTTCAGTACAACTTTACTGCGTTTTTTTGAAGCATGACTGCATAAAGATTTCCTTCCTAAGGGTCTGTGTCAGCGGCCCCGGTTTTCTAATAGAAGAGCGCTGGCGTAAGAGAGCTGGTCATGTTTGTAGAGAGCTGCAATTCACAACCACTAATGGAAGGACCATCAACGGAGCATGTGATGTTTGTTTATTAAATAAGTTGATTTAAAAGATTTTCTGTAAAGGCAGCATTCACTTGCGAAGAGCCAAAGCCATGTGGCTTCCTGAACTACTGGTCTATTCCTCCCCATCTCCTGGAAACCAAGAGGTCAGACTCGACGGACCGAGTGTACCAGCAGTGGCCCAGGGGTCCACCTGACGGTCACTGGCAGCCGGGGGAGGACGCACGCGCTTCCCCGGCGACGTGGCCACGGAGAGGACAGCACCGGGGACACGCTCGGACAGCCTGCAGCCAGG